GAAACTGTTTGAAGACTTCTCACCTATGCTTCCTAATTGAGCATAGTGAATAAGCTTTTATTCTTAAAAGGAAGCACATGTTTTAGCACCTGACCTGAGGGAAATTGCTAAACAGAATGAGAATACACATGCCTGACAATTTAAGATTGTTTTACAAAGGCTGTTTAAAAGACCATGTGGAAGATGACATGTGAGTATTATTCAGGACTTTAAACACTTAGAATTAAGAAAAAAAGAAGACCCCTAGAGCAGACAGGAAAGCCAGTGAAGCCTAATTAAACCCATTAATTACAAGTAGCCTGTCCCTGTGGAGGTCAATGTTAGCTTTGCATTAATTTCAACAGCAATCCATGGGACCAGGTTACCTTTACCACTTTGCAGTTCAGGACCTAACTCAAAAATTTCCCTAACTATGTGAATTAAATAATGGTTCTGAATCACTTCGTTATTCCTTATATACTACACAGATGAATTAACAGGAATCGGGTAGTTTACTGAACCTGTTAAGAAGATAATGACACCTAACGAAACCTAAGTGGCCTTCACATTCTGACTACAGCCCTTGTATATTAACAGAACCCTAAGACACACTAAATAAGCACATTCTGTTTCACAATCCCCCAGTTTAATATGTTAATTTCTAAAGCAGGATAATTTAAACTGGGATACCTCAATAAAAAGGAAAATAAAATTAAAATAAAATAAGCTTATAAAAATTATAAGCTCCCATTCATGATTACTCACAAAAATCTCTGGTTTGTGAGATCTGTCAATAAAACTGAAATCAAGACAGAATTCTTCAGCTTCTCTTCAGTCAATTGAAAATATTAATTCTGAAAAAGTCCCATTAAGATGTTGTGTCTTGACTGACTAAACCACAGATAAAAGCTCTGGACCAGAATGGTTACCTTGGTCCTTGGCACCAGGGCACAATAACAAGCCAAATGCCATGAACTCTGTTCTCTCTACAATAAACGTAATCTTTTCCCATTTGAATTAATGGAAATTTTACGGTCACATACAGGGAAAAACTGCAATCCTGAGCAGCTAATTAGAAAGACAACATCATTATCTGAACTGTAGCATCAACAATAATCTGCTTCCAAAAAGACAATGAAAAGTAAGTAACTCCTTAGCCCATATTATGGTCTAAGGAATGACAATCTCTGCATATGTGATTATCAGTTAAAATCAGAATGACTTTATAGATAAGAATCAGGCTTTCTGAGTTTGATGCTTCACAGGCCTCGTAATCTGAATGTTCCAGCAGTCTTTAGGAGAGGACAGAGTCAGCAGGTCTCCAGCCTCATCCAATATACATTCTGGCAGGCGAAAATCAATACATGAAGATTTGTCTGCCAGCTTCTTTATCCTCATTCCCGTTTGCTGCTGGCTCTGGCCACTCTCTGTGAAGTCTACAGCACCTGCTATTCTGAAAAATTTGTACTCCTCCAGTTTACAAATTACTTAAACCAGCCCAGTTAAACGAAGGGAAGAGGTTCTCCTTCCTGGCCATCCCAGAACCAGGCTCTCATCTGCAAGTAGCACCTTGGCAAAAGCACTTGGAGTGGTTTTACAGCTACATCTGCTCCATCTGTTCTTACTATGCTGACAGTGCCCGCAGCCAAAAAGACTGTGGTTCAGTGTCCAGCTTGCAGTGTAACTATATGATCAGTCTGACCAGGCTTCTAATAAGTAAATTTGGGAAGTTTTACATTGCAATGTTGCTGTAACAGTTTCTCATGTCCTTGTCTCCCCCAAGAAAATATACACATACATACTTATGTACACATATGTATAGATAGATAGAAATGTGTCTTTATATGTTTTCACCCCCACAGATTTATAAGAAGCCTACAGAAATGACACTAAGTGTACTGATACTACGATGCAGGATATCACTTGAGATGACAACTTCTTGTTTCACAACATTAATAAATAAATAAATAGAATTCTGTTAGTGTAAATTTGCTTAGGGCTTTTTACTTGTTTTGATAATTTGTTATTAGTAACAACTGGATGGTGCTTTATGGGCACCAGCCAATACAAAGGGTGCCATTACAACATTGTCTCATAGGAAGCTGGAGAATTTTTTCCTCAATCTTTCTCATGGAGACAAAAAATTCTGCATAGCCTTTAAGGGATTTATTTCTTTATTCTCCACCTATGCCATAGGCTAAAGGAAAGAACTAAATGACCAATTTTGTTCTCCCAGGATTTTGGGGTTTGTAACTATGTCTAACCATGAGATTACGTTAGCCATTGTTTGAAAATTCTTACTGTGCACAAAACCAAAGGTCAGACATAAACCTGATCTGAAATCACTCTCTTTTACACCATTATTTTTTGAGATGCTCTCTATGGTTTCCACTTTTTATAACCTTATCAGTACCGCCTTTTCATCTGAGTATATTATCTTTATTTGCATTGGCAATGTCAATCTAGTCTGAAATAATCCTAATTACTTCACGACATGCAGCCTCCAGCTCTAGAGGAATTAGGCATATGGAAACAAGGAGTCTGTAAGGCATTCAAAGTCGCAACTATTATTTGCCTCTGGAGAGGTTTTGAAAAGAGGAGTATTGCAAACTGATGGCATTTCAGTATGTTCATGGCTATGCTCAATTCTAACCAGATTTAGCAAATGCTCTTTCAGTTAGGAAACTCTGCTGAAAATCTCTCTAGCATTCTTTCAGACAGTTGAATAATTCCATTAATTCCTCTGTGTAATTCAGGTAACAAACAAAAAGATTGCAGCAGCATGAAACTGTTAAGCTTATAATCATGGCATCTACAAATAACAGTATTACATTAGACATGTATTTCTGTCACTAGATTTCCTAGACATAAACTGACAATAAATTCTATTTCTATTATAATTTTGGGGTGCTGTTGCAGTTTGTCTTTTCTAAAACCTAATTAAGCGTATGCATCATCCACCCCTCTAAACTGTTTTATCTACCCTGGAGTTAGTCTGATTTGTTCCACACCTAGGGTGAGTATTTTTCTCCTAATATTTCTCCTGGGAACCTTTAAGCAAGAAAGACACCATTTCTGTTATGATTGCCTCACCACGCTGCTAACACCAAATACCACTGGTTCTTGCTACACATTCTGAAAAATTGAAAAATAATAACAATAAAACCCCATTGCTGCTGGAGAAAACATAGGGGTTTTTCCAACTAATGTATCAGTTCTTACACCTTTGCTGGTTACAAACAAGTTCAAAACATTTTTATCAAATCTGAGGCAAATTAAATCAAGATCTGAAAAAAAGCAAAGTGTGTTTAGTTATTAAAAAACCCAAACAGCTAGTATTTGTGTCAGGTACTTCTTCATGAGTTATAACTCCTTCAGGCTCTGTTTGTAACATTTTAGAAAACACATCTGAAAACGAAGAGTAGTTTGCCTTGGATTAGCAATTCATTGGCTTGAGTTTGTTCTGTATGGGTTTTTTAAGCAGAAATCCTCCACCTGTGTGTTATTCGGGTTAAGAGAAGTATTTGTGCACTTTACTTCCTATTTCATGCACTTGATAAGGTTGAAGCTTTACTGCTTAGAATTTCCATGATACAGAAGACAGAAACCAGAAATACAAAGAGGTGGTTTGCTGAGAGTGAAGAGGGAAGCTGGGAGGAAAAGATATTATTTGAGAGTTTTTCTGAAGCACTTTTAGGAAACAGTTTGATTCTTTTTGTCAAAAATAAGCTTCTCTAGGAGGCATCCTGGAGAATGGAGTCACGATAACAACCCTGTCCTTATGAACTCCATAAATTCCAGCCTCCTGGAATGAATAAAAATACAAATGATCTCAGACACTCAAACAGACAGATCACCTGGGGTTGTTTCTCTCTGCAGTGTTATTTGGCAGGCAGCTGGGCAGTTCCCTTCCCCGCAGCTTCCTACATCTGCAGGTCTCCTGCCCTTGTTCTCTGTTGGCTGCCAGGTCAGCTCTCATTCGCTCTCAGCTGACAGGCTCATTCTCCCTCTCATCTCCTTGTGCCAAGCTCGCTCTGCCTGTCGCAGAGCTGGCAGGCCATTTCTTTCATTTTCAAGTCCTGTGCCCCACTTACAGGGTCTCCTTTCCTCTCATCTGTGGTCTTTGTCCTCCTTTCTGTCTGCGTGTTTCCAGTCCGCAGTGTTCTAACAAGGGAACTGGCAGATGTAAAAGTGATGCTAATGCATGAGGCAGGGACACACTTTCCCTTGTTTGGCAGATAGTATCCCCATGCCTCAGCTCCCCAGGTGACACACCCAAGGTTACCAAATGAGACCTCAGCAAGGAATCAAACTGAGCTTCCTGCTGTCCTGGAAGGCACATTTGGCTGTTCAGAACATCCTTGGCATCTTTATAGTTTCCTAGGAAGCCATTTAGCACTGCCACTTTTACCTTCTCTGTTGACTCTGCCACCCACAGTTGGATTAGGTCATATCCTAGAAGTTTCACATCAGTAGCAGCAGAGACTGCATTTCTAAGAGCACTGCATAGCCTACAAATCCATCAGCTGGATAAAGGGGAATGTAGAGTGGATGTGGACAGGAGAATGAGGAGTGGAATGGCAGGTTTTGATCAGATGAGTGATTAAAATAGTTTGCTAAGACATTCCTATAAGAAAACCAGGCAAAATAACTCCAAAAAAAATTAAATCATTTCATCTTCACACAAGAAAGTGCTGTGATATTTTTTTTAATCAAACCATGTTATATTTATTATTTTCAAATGCAATACTGTGCTCCCCGACAATTTCTAATTCTGTGGAATGCACAAGAGATTTCAACTGCTTTGATGCTTATACAAACTTTTTTCTTTTTTTTTTTTCTCACAAAAACAGGCTCTGACAGCAATTGCTGTTTTTTAAAAACTGCCCTGAATTGGTTTCAATAGCTGTCTAAGCACTGTTGGCTTTTTATAGACCAATGACAATCCTCTGCTAAGAAAAGACAGGCCAAATTCCTTCTAATGCACTTTAAACTCCAGTCACATAGCCCTCCTGGACCTCAGTTAAAGAAAGGGTCTAAGAGATTTCACAGTTACCCAGCACTAATTCACAGTTTGTTTGCCTTGGGTAGGATACAGCTAATGCCTCAGAAGGTATGTGGCCGCAGTGCTTTAATTTATTCTATTTTTTGCCATGCTGTTAAGAGCACCCTGGATCACTGAAACAAAATGCATGTCAGGAATGACCATGGGCCACATAATTTCAAAGACTGGGAATGATTTTGGTAACGCTTGCTGTGGCCAGACATTATTAGTTCTTCTGATGTTCACTGTAATGATGCAATAATGAGGAACTAATGCGTTATTAATGAGGTGGTAATGCTGTATATACTTCACAGAAATTCCATTATAACTGGCTAATCAATGTACCATTGTTTTAAACTGTTAATTTGTTTTTAAGATAAAATGTAACATAAGTTATCAAATGTAGCTTTAAGTAAGGCTGAGGCCAGCTATTTTCCAATGACCTTCTAGGCTCTTTTGAAAAGCTTTGCCAACTTATTCAATTACAAAGGGAGAAGGCAGAGTGGTTTCAAAACAATTAAAAAAGCTGCCAATAAATTTCATTCAACTCTTCTTACTTAAGAGCAAGGTCAGCAATAAGAAGAAAAGAGTACTTTTGAAGCAGAGTATGCCAGGTTTTAATTTAAGGGGTGTATCTCTAAACCATAAGAACAAGCTTCAGATTAATGTGGGCACCTTCAGCTGTCCTCAGAAGGCTTGCTTTTTGAAGCAACTGTGCTTTTAACTGAAATTCACGTTTTCAAAAAGAATCTAAAATTGGGCACCCAAATTTAGTGACATTTCAATAACCATATCATTATTACCATTGTTATTACTATTATTGTCATCACTACTGCTGTGGGATTTTCCTGTTATTTTTAACTAACCACTCAACTCTTCACATTAGGAAATCAGAAAAGCAGAATGTAAAGAATCACAGGCTGAATATTAAGAAAATTCATGCCATTTCCTCTCCTTGGAGCATCGAAGAATGTATTTTAAAAAGCCTCTGGCTTAGTGAATTAATTTAATATGGGGTGAAGGGAGCTTTTTATGTTAAGGATGTAAATTCCCACATACTAGCTTCAATATCAGTCTTTTTTAGACAGCTGTCTTGCTAAGTTCAGGTTGTAATTGCCTGAATCCCACTTCTCAGATGTAGTGCAACAACACCCACTGCACTCAAAAAACTCATTAAATGTACAAGTTTATGTCTAGTATGATAACTGTTGTCCACTATCCTATTACATTTATGCTGCAAAGTACGACACTGACTCACTTCTTGTGCTGCTCTATGCCCTTGTTCTTATCTGTGGCTGAAAGATGTAGTTACCATTTCTCTGCTAAACCCACTTCCTTTCCTCGTGCCTTTAGCCAGGGGACAGATTGATTCAGAGCACTAGGGCTGACCTCAGATGCTGTTACACAGCCATTCTATCATTTCAGGGGAATTATATAGGTTAGGGCAAATTTTTCAAGCATTTAAGTCAATGAGTCCAGACACGCTAACACAGCCAGGCGTACTTTAAGACAATTCAGTTTCCATGAAAAGAGAAGATTCTGTGTCCATTCTGAGCAGAGAACAAAAATACTTCCCAAAAGTGGGCTTTCAGAGATTTTGTCTTCCACTTCATTCTCCTTCTGAATTACTTAGATGCTTTCAAAATGTTATTCTCATCTTATGATAAATTCTCCAGGACTCCTCCATAGAAAATGTCACAGTGCCAAAATGGTCTACTTCCATTAACACTTAACAGCTTCACCAGGTACAGTAGTGTCATTTTGAAGGCAGACTTCAGTTCAATGTCTGCCAAGTGTCACATGAAAACTAATCTTGAATAATATTCAGACAGGTATTTTGAGCTTTAAAAGAACACTAAGAGCCCATTAAACTGTTCCTAAACTATTCAGAAGTCGAGCTTTGGTGTTCTTCCAAGGGAAGCAAGAGGAAGGATTCAGTGTTCAATTTCATTTTTCAGGTTTTTTAATACCTGAATGAAGGTCTTTTAGCTTTGTTTTATCTCTGCTGAAGTAATGAGTTTTAAAAACAACAGGTTTAAACTGCTTGAACACTTCGGGGGGGCTCCTTCTACTAAGTTTCATAGAGATACTTTTTTTTTTTTAACAGTATAGTGATCTGAAGTGTCTCAAAAGAAAATGAGTCTTTTAAGTTAGATTTTCTAACAAATCTCACAAGTATTCTACATGACACTGTGCTGCTTAAGAAACCTAGTCTTTCCTATAAAGCTGTTACCTTAGCTATAGGATTTTACTACTATACTAAAATCCTTCCTTATTACCCTATACTAAGTCTGCCCAAATACTTTGAAATTTCATGTCCAAAAGCCATAAATCTTTCAATGAATGTAATGAGTGGTACAAACTTAAGTTCTAAACCTTACAAAAAATTCCACTGACACGTTTCTGTTACCCACTTCAGTATGTGGGTAACTGTCAGCCCAGCAAAAGAAAAGAAGTGAATTTTTACACTCACACCTTCAGCGTAAAATGAGCTGATTTAGTTGTTTCTTGTATTCCCAAGAAATATTTGCATATTACATAGGTAGAAAAACCATTTCAAAGGAAATTACTACGCATGGTAAAAACCTCTCTAGTGATGATTTATTATTCTGATATGCATCTGTGGGAAAAAAGCAATGTATATAAAATGTAACATATGCACTGCCTTTAAAATTACTTCACTTAGAAATGGTGCAAGGGAAAATAATTTTGTTTGAGAACATGTAAGCATTGACTTCAGTCCTCAGGCAATGCACTTCCCTCTGTATTTGTCACAATTCAATTTCCATCCACTACTAGCACAATACCGGCACAGACTCTTGTGTCAGCTGGCAATACATAATCCTAACTACTGTGAGAGACCCCAGCCTGACTTCACCACCACTGCAGGATGACTTGGCTCCCAGGGAGAGATAAGCACCTATGTAGACTAAGGGGCATTACAATTATCCCTCATCCACTCCCAGTCAGAGCTGTAGAGAGGGACTTGCTCCAGCTTTCTTTATGAAATTAAAATTCTTTTGGAATTTTTTTTTGAATTCTTTTGGTTTTGGAATAAATACATTTGCTTTCTTTCTGGAGTAATATTGTTGTCTTACCTACCCCAATAACAATTTCTGAGAAAAAAAGGACTCAAAGCAGCAGATGAGAAGGATCCCGAACTGTTCTCAAGAAACCTCCACATTGTGCAAGGTATTGTATCAAACGTCATGTGCATCCCCAGTCTACACAATCCATTGTACACCACTGTAAGCACTTTCTGTCAGGAAGCTGCTGTTTCTATAATCCAAAGTGCCTTCACTTTCATGAATCAAATCATAAAGCTATTTTAAAGGCTCTCCAGCCTTTAATTTCCTTTGTGTTTTAATGGACACATAACTTCATAAGGGCCTGAATATTTCTCTTATCTCATAAGATGCAGAAGCAGCCACAGTGCTATTACAATACTGTATTAATTTGTTTTTCCACTAAGCAAAAATCCATTGAAACCAATGATGCAGACATCCTATACATTCTAAGCGGACTTTGCATCATAAAAATAACACATAATGAACTTTTTTCCCAAGCAGTTCACAGAGCAGCACTCTAATCACATAAAGCACATGAGCAGCCATTTCGTTCTAACACTACAGAGGGTTTAGACATGTTCTCTCTGTAAAGCAATTCTATCTCATTGTATTCTAATAAGGTTAGCCATTTAGTCCCAGCCATTTTTGGTCTGCTTTAGGTTCTGCTGGAAGATGGGAATACAGGAAAAGATTTTCTGTTCTCCTCCCTTGCATAACTACTGAGAGCATAAAGAGAGAGCTGAGCAGAAAAGTAAAGAACCCAGCCACCTGCCCCTGTTGAACCATGTTGACAGTGCAGCACCCAGCATCGAGAAGCTGCCCCATTATTTCAAGGACATTTGTACAAATGAAAGCAGGACAAAAGGACCATGACCCATGAAAACAAAATATGTAGTTAATTTGCAAAACATGGTCAAATGAATATTCATAGTTACAGTTTTCAGTTTATTTCTGGAAGCACAGTCCAGCACTTCTGGAATAGAACCACAATGCAAGTTTTCTTCCAAAATATAAAATTGGCCAGATTCCCTAAGTAAACTTCTCCATTTAAAATTGCTACAGGAATAACAGAAAACTATCAACATTCTCAACATCAGATAATTTAAAAATCACAGGGGCTTCTTCAATTTCTTGTTCCTATTGGGTAAAGCTGTACCAGACCCCAAGACCTGCTTACCTACTCCAAATGTATTACAGTAGCTATATAACTATTCCAACAATAAACTGATCATTTTTTCCTCAATTTTCCTATTTCTTTTCTGCCTCCACATAGCTGCATTCCTGGCTTCTTCACTCACAGAGCTGATTTTCATTTAATTCCTAGTGTTTCAGTGAGATGACATATTGTCAGATTTGCCTTGGAAATTCTATTCTCCCATTTAGGATATAGGAGCAGCTGTACTGTCTCTCCACATCACTGTGTCAGTGTGCCCCAATCCAGTGGAAAGGAATGATTTCCGAGGGGTGAACGGGATGGGGTTGAGGGATAGGAAAAGAGACAAAGAAAAGGAAAAATAGCATGCTCCAGGTGAGTGCCATCAATATATGGGGTTTGCTAGTAAGACACCTTTCACATAAGACTTCTAATTGATTTTGTAGCAGCCATTAAGCAAACAAATAAAACACTCAGCCTATGCCCTCCTAGCAAATTATTCCAGCATTTTACAGACATAGGGCCTAAACCTACAATTTTGCTCTGGTAGCTCTGGTCACTTTTTATACTTACTTCGCATTCAAACAGACAGTTACAAAAAGGAATACAGAATGGAAATCAGGCCCATTACAGACATTTTAAGCGCTAAATCTGACTTTAAGGCAATCGAGGTTATGGTTTTCTTCATATATAAAACCCTGTATAAAAAAGTTTCCTAGGTTTCAACAACAACAAAATTACCACTAATTTATGAAAACCATGTCAGTGCCTGCAAACCTTTGTCGTAAATTATGCATGTGAGCATGGAAATGCTAATGAAAAGAGGATTTCATTTACAAATGATTAGTACAAATTCAGCAGTCACTATACTTATGTCTGTCTAATTTATTTTCTTGTAGAACATGCTGTTTTCCAGGCTTTGGCCATTTATTTCTACGCTGTTGAGCATCAACTTCTCAGATTTTAATGTCACATTATCTTTTTATCCGAAGAAAAGTTCATCTTCTTTTTAGAAGGTCTCAGTTAAATGAAGTCCTTGGGCTCAAAGTTACCTCTTTTGATTAAAACATTTGCAGGAGGGCTGCAATAAAAATTATGCCCTTTTATACAGAAGGAATTGCTGAAATTACTATGGTTTCCCAAGACTTCTACTAATGTGTTGAAGAATACATATCATCACCTTCACCAGAGCTTATCATGGATTTTTTCACTCAGCACACAATCTTTTTCCGCTTAATACATAAGCTTTTGCTAGGGATTAGACCTCCCTGGAAAAAAACCTCATCAAGTCTGCATTCCAAAAGCATTTTACAAGCCTCTAAAAGATGAGAAAAATCCAGAGTGCAAGACTTGATCATTTTTATTTCTTGGGTTTTGGCCAAAGATCCATGCTGGCTGGAAAATCAATAATGCCTTATATGAAATAGATCCAAACAGAAATGAAACCATGGGGTTCTAGGGAGTTATAACAACATACTGTAGAAATCACTTCAAGGTTTCTTATTTAATAGAGAATACAGATCTTCTAGGTATTTGTTAGTGGCGCTGATGTTTTGCAGATTTTGCTGGATGCAGTTGAAGTAGAAACAAAATTTTCCTCTACTCATGAATATGTTTGTTTATGTTAGATCCTTTAGAATATTGGAGGTTTGGAAAGCCCATCATCAGATTCGCCGCTTAGATGCAAAAGGAGATTTTTGTCCTTTTGTCTGTGGTTTTTAAAAGTTCAGTAGGATGCTTACAGCTGAAGGTTAGCCTAATTGATAAAACTGTGTGCAAGCCTGGAAAGCCTGAAGAATTACATCACTGGTTCTATATTTCTGGCCTAAAAGCCAAGCCACACAACACTCCAGATACCCACACAGTCAGATTGTGAATAACCAGAAAATAGTAAAGCTCCCAGCTGTGGAAAAGAGACTTCCTCTAAGCCTAGATCAGACAACGATTCTAACTGCACAATCTACCCAAATCAAATACAAACATAATGTGCAATGCACATCTGCCTTTGACAGCTTTATTTGTTCATTAAACATTTATGTTAGATGGCTTTTAGCATCCCAGTCCACGATATTCATCTAAACTTGGCTAGGAAATTAACAGTTTAAGTAGTCCCATATTTTAGCATATTAAACTCTCTTGGGATTTTTACTGATATGTGTTAAACACTGACCTAAATTTTGTGTTCCAGAATTGAATTTTAAGAGTGCTTTTGCTAACATTAATTGTTTCAGGGGTTTCATATTATTACATGGAATGGCTCCTTTTTCTGATAACCTGATAACAGCGAATTGATTATAATCACTCAGCCTAAAATGGGACTCCTTTTATAAATGAATCAAGTACATGACTACTGGGAACGGTTTAGCTATCAAATCAACATTTTAACTTGCTTGGAAACTATTTCCTACCAAACAATATATGGAAAGATTTCCAGGAAACTCATGCTATATATAGTACATTAAATAGCATTTAAAAACAATTATTCATACACTTGCAATTTCTTTTCTAGTAGCTAAACGCATCTGCAGCAAATCTAGCTAAGTAAAGGAGCAGAGATGGAGGGACAGATGAAGGGAGAGATAGAGTGAAATATCTCCTACCATTTGATGACCTCAATGATTAGAAGTTACCCTAAAACAGAGCATAAACTTTAAAAGTGTAACAATTAAAACATCTAGGTTTTAAAATTATTTATTATGTATGAAACAGTGTCAAGGAGTTATTCAAGCAGACATTTTGACGATGTGCATGTAACGTACACACCTGAAAAGAAGAAAAATCCAAATGGAACTGTGTTGTGCAAAAAGGATAAGGAACGGTAGAATCTGAAATCTTCTAGCAGCCTTATTCCAAGGGCATCTCTTTATTAAGAAGCTCCTCCTTCATTTAAATGACATTGTGAAGACTTGCCAAGGTGTTTAAAATGGAATGCTATTTGATTACCACTTGTAATATCTTTAAGTTATACATTTACATGCAAACACTGCATATTTAAATAAAAGATTGGTACCAGACATGGCAGTTTCAAAGGCACATTGTGCATAAGACATTTTCTGAGGCAGGAATTTATTTTCAAAGCACTTTCTTATTTTTTCATCTATTGAAGAATTTATTAAATGCTCTTCTAAAGGGAACGATCCAGAAAAGAATGAGACATTAATAGCCTTCAGGAAATGCATCTCATGGATTGGTTTCTGGTTTGCCTGAGTTTCCAGCTAAGATTAGCAAGTATGACCTGACCGAACTGTCCAAGACTAAACAAGCTATCATATTTGCAGCTACAAGACTGCCATAAAAGATGTTTTTCCTCCTTCCCTTCTCCCCCAGCAACCACGCACCTTTGCTGGGAAGCAGCCTCAATGATAGGATGCAGATGAATGATTAGCTGTTCAGAGTGCAAATACCAGGATGGCATTTCAAAAAACTGAGGGGATCCTGAGAAAGCTTGTAAATCCTCACAGAAATATTGGTAAGTTTGTTCTTCACCTTATTCTTATTAAAAAAAGGCATTCAGAATGACAGACCAGGCTGATGAATAAAATGTAAACATGCTAGTCAGTTGTTTTGGCCCAACATTCACTGAATATCTTACCCTTCAGCTCTCACATGTTCATACTGCCCTTCTCCAGTGAAGCTTAACTTTTTTCATCAGCAAGGCAGACAGAACAATGTTTATGATGTTACCTGATTTATCATCATAGAACTTGTTATTCAACAGATGAAGTTAAGTCATTTGAATTTCCGGTGCTGATGTGTGAGTGCCAGATAAAAAAGATTTCTATAGTTTTGCAAGAGATCCTGAGGTGCTGCCGCTGCCTTCACTCCTATCACAGAAAACTTCTCTGGAAGTTTAGAGACTATCTGGGGCAACACTGCAGCTGCTCCTCCTCAATTCTTAATCTATAGATGTATTTCATCAACATTAACAGCTGCAAATTGGACGCAGAATAAAGGGAAAAATGAACCTTTAGAAAAAGCCAATTTCACTTTTATCATTTTGCTAAGTAGGGTTGTGATAAAATCTCCACTGCCTATTGCAAGAATCAGAGGAAGCCAGTTTTGCTTATATAATGCAACACGGCTTTATTGGTATTACATCAGTCTTGTAAGAAAAGACTTGGGTGACAGTTGCAAAGTAATGTCTGATAAAAATTTCAATATCTGTGCCTACCATTCAATAAATGCACAGGGAAAAGCTATACAGCACTGTGTATAATAATCTAACTACCACAAAACCCTCATGGTTTTTTTTCTAGTGCCAAATTCTCCATTAGGAAAGAAAAAGGCACAAAACAGAAGACAAGCCTTCTTTGCTGACAACCTGGGGGGGGGGGTGATGCTGGCTGGCAGAGGGGCTACCTGGCATGTTTGAATTAAAGAACACTTAAAAAGTGCAGACTGTCTTAAATTGAGAACTTCACAAAGGGATCCAGCAAAATACTTATCAACTCCCTTCTGTGGATACAGCGGAACATATATACATATAGATATTATATATTTAAATATGCATTTATAAAATTACATATATATATATAAGACCTGTAACTGTGACATTATTAAGAAGGAAAGCTAAAAAGATTACTTTAAGATTTTTCTCCTAAGATAATTTATTTTTCTTCCCAACACCCCAGTGTAGTGGAATAGACATGAGAAACTGACTACCAAAAGAAGTTTCACAGCCTCTCTGCTCTACAAGAAAACCTAATGAATTTGGATTTTAGTCTTACTTTTTACTAAAAAAAAAAAAAGTTATTTCATGTTTAATTTTTGCTTTTTCATATTAAATGGATGAAAGAGCCTAGTAAAAAATTCCCTAACCTAAATTGGGAGCAATCACCATGTTTTATTAACTGAGAGGATTATCTTCTGGAGAGCAATCACAAAACTATTGAATATTTTACTTGTCTCATCTGTGATCTTTTCTTCTGTCTCATTAGAAAACAACCCAGTGAATAAATCACTCAGTGCCCAATTCTGTATATTCAGCTCCTATTAAACTCTTTGTAAGAACTCAGCATCTCAGAGGGACAGACTTGCCATCAGCCTCATCTTCACTGCAGTCTTCAGCATCAAGTTTCTTTCAATCTACCTATTAAATTTCCAAATTTCTTTGGTTTCATGTGTATATGTGTTCTTCTCCTGTGCTGCTACACATCACAACGATATGTGCATGATTCATATTATTAAACTAAGCTAGCTATTATCTGATATACGGGTTGATAGATATTTTCTAGAACTCCAATTAAAACACCAGTAGGGAAAAAATCAGAGAACAAATTTTCCTCAGGGAAAGAAGGGCTGTGGAAATTTTCCTCTGAAAAAGTTCTGTGTTGTTCCTTTAACAGGAACACTGCAGTTGCTGTTAGCAGGAAAAATTCACAGAGAGAGCTATTCTACCCTCTGCTATTATTTTAGGGAAGAATTTAGCTGTTATTCTACTAATGCTTATCCGTAAAACAGCAGCACAAATCTTCTTGTTATTTTCTTTTTTCTCTCCCTAGTTTTTGCAGGAGTTTGATGACTGATTAGTCTCCAGGGCTCTTTTTTTATAATTTGTGGTAGTGCAAGAAAGTATAGCTCCAGGAGATGTATAATCTCATTGCCTGTACCACAGGAGTTGGGATTAGACGTAATCCCATTTTCTCTGATCACAGCAAGTGCCAGGAGAAGTAGACAACATTTTAAACAGAAAAATATGGCTACAGAAGAAGCACTCTGATAGTATCCGACAGAGGTCTGAGTGGAATGGGAAGCACTTTATTTGATGTCAGGGCACTGCTCTTCCTAACACCCTCTGGTTTGGAGCAGCAAAGGTCAGTCCCAAAAACCACTGGTTTTGATCAAGCTACAAATACCTTTACTGAAGTTTGCTTGTACCTTAAATCATTTACCATGGCTCCATCACTGTTTGCTGCCAGTGACTCTTTTTTGTTGCATACCATAGCCCTCACAGATGGCAAAGAATAATATATCATTCACTCTGATGGTATGTCAGAAACTGACAACCAGCAACACGCAGAGGCACGAGGTCTGAAAGCATACTGCTGATTATCCCATTTCCATGTGCCATGGAGGAAACAGAGGCTGACCTCAGAGACTCCTCTCACAGCTGCCAGTATACCCCATCTGAGGTACAAATACAGTTTCATAGGTCCAGCTGGAAACACTGGATTGAAAAACACAAAATACCATCTCTCAGAGGAGGTGATTCATTGTGTGGCAGGTCTGCTCATTTAGTTTTTTTAATAGCCTGTGAAGCAATTCCAAGGGGATACTATAACAACACATGAATAAACCTTATTAATACTAAGATATAAAAACCGTAAAAGTGAAAAATGTATTTCCAGCTAAGAAAAAAAAGCAGGAAGGTTGGGTTCTGAAGATTCTATTACTTAGGATTAGTTCAGGAGCTTGTTTATTTTTGTCTCTAGCTTTCATCATGGGAACAAGTTCCATGGGAACATGAGAGAACATGCTGTTCTGACATGTAATGATCATTGACTCTCTTTTTGGTATGAATGAGTTGCCTGTAGCATATCTAAACAGAAACCCATGCAGAAAATATCACAAACATAATGAACATTTGAAATACACTACTTGGCTTTTAACAGAGCTTTCTTTAAAGAAAGCAGACATGATGCATTTTCATTAAGTGTACAGTTGATTTAGAGATGTAATTTGCAGACTGCTAAAGTCCATTAACCTGATGTCTAGTTAACATATGGAACTGTACCTTTGAAGTAGGATGAGCCATTAGAGAGGCTAGAAGCATTAAGCCAACGTATCTGATTAACTATTGTGTACAAATAAACCATGCAAAAAACTGTAACCTGACCTATTAAGAATGTTACAGATTCTGGTAATAATAAAAAAATCTAGAAGAGGTGAGATATGATAGTTTCTTTTGAAAATAACTCTTTGTTTAATACGCTCACCGCAGTACCATGCGGTACCTGGTTATTCAATCTTGTTCTCTCAGCTTTCAGGAGGAGAAGCAGCTGTGCAGAACCACATTGCCCAACCTAACTTCCAGACAAGAATGCACAGCATATTTAGACTGCAGCACAAGAGAATTGAAGTGTCTTTATTGTGTTATTAGTGCCTCTACAGTTCATTTTTCATGGTTTTTAGCTTCCTTACGGATATCCTTAGCCCTGCCTTACTCTTCAGCCTTCAGAAATTTCACTTTTATTTATACTTTATTGCTGAGATGGTATTTAGCTCTGTTGTAAACATGCAATTCATGACAGAATAAAGCTGTTGGAAAAAATAATATACAGCTGTTCAGATACACACTTAAAGTTTCTTGACACTAGTTGACTAAAACATTTTCCCAAATTTTGCTGTATCCCATGGGGATGAGGATGAACAGGTAACTGAACTCACATCTGCTCAGGAGCTCCATCAGTCTAACAATTCTCACACAGTTGAATTCTCACACAATCAAACTATCCTTTCCTGTCTCCCTTCCTTTTGCAGGTTCCTATTCTTAGATCAAGGTAACATAGTTACATTTATCTCTTTCACTTTACCTGGTTCACTTGCAGAAGATTCTGCTTAGTCTTATTAGGCCTAACCATAAAGGGGAGAAATAAGAGTAACAGCAGAGTAAATTGAGAGGACAATAACCCACCAGCCTTTACAGTTATATACAGATGATGTAAGACAGATACTTTCAGGTAGATTAGTATGTTTCAGAATGATTTGTAAAAATACACTATAGTGTGTGTATATACATTTTTACAAAATATATTTTAGCAAGGAATATGGGTTCACCATATAGTCTTACTAAAAAAATATTTGCAGAAAAAAGAAATTTCATTAGAAGTTTTCATTAATAAAACATCATTGAGTCTTGGGGAAAAGCTGTAGAGACAGACATTAGTATAGAGGAAGTGATCAAAATAAGAAAGATATTCTGTTCCACCCAAAGAAGTCCTCATAGTCTTCATCTACAAAAACGAAACAGGATCCAGTATCCTTTGAAGAGAAGATACTTTAAAGCTCAACGCTGATGCCAAAGAACTTTTACAGTAAGTGCAAATTGATAGCCTACATTTGTTTCCCAAGATCTCTTACACAGAAAATCATACCAAGTAAATATGACAAACCACCTGTAAGATGATAGCTTACAAGATGAAAGGTTATTTCTAAATACAGTTTCCTGCCAATAGTGTCAGATCTTCTTTTATTGATCTACACAATTTGATCGTTGCTTTCAAAGTAATTGATCCAGCAGCAAGTGTCACTTAAAAATGATGACAAGTGTTGACAGAGAAAGAAAAATTTAAGATGATTAAGATGAAACAGATTATTCCTTATAGCTTTTCCACTGCATTGCCTTTTGTTAATCTTGGGGTTTAATGAACTGACAGCTACTGTAATGCACATAATATCCCTTGATATCCAATGTCTTGACAAGAGGCATTTTTAACAGTATGTTGAAATCTGGCATATGTAATGATACCACAGTTCAGTAACACATGGCACAAGAACATAACCCTGAAATTTTTCATTTAAATTTAGACAGGAAGCCCAGCAGCGTTTTCATCTCTAGAATGGAGTTTGCCATACTGACGCTAGACAAAGCTAATTAAGGCACCTCCAAAAATTTGATTATTTTATGTTACTTTGGAGAAATAAGAAAAAGAGTTGAAAACTAATTACATTATCATTGAAAACAATATTATTTAGGTCACCTCACAGCATCATGGCCCCTGATGCACACATACATTAACTGAACAGTATTATCTACCATTAATACACAGTATTCATCAACAGACTTCCCAGCATCTGACACAGGAGGCAGCTACTATTCTTTCCAGCCTGTGACCAGGGAACAGAGATTTATAAAGGTCTTGTGCCCAGAAGGCAGCTAAGCCCCACAGCTGCTCGCTCACTCTATCCCAGTGGGAAAAAGGAACGAATTGGAAAGGTAAAAGTGAGAAAACTCGTGGACTGAGATAAAGACAGCTTAACAGATAAAGCAGAAACTGCACATGTAAGCACAGCAAAATAAGAAATTCATTCAAAGTAAGAAATTCATTCACCACTTCCCATGGTCTGGAAAGTGCTCAGCCATCTCGAGGAAAACAAGGCTCCATCATATCTAGACATTACTTTGGAAGACAAACCCACTCTCCCCCCTCCTTTCTTCTTTATACCAGCTTTACAATGATGAGCATGACACCCTATTGTCCGGGATATCCCTGGGCTCAGCTGGGGTCAGCTGTTCCAGCTGTATCCCTTCCCAGCTCCTTGTTCACTCCCAGCCTCCTAACGAGTGGGGTGTGAGAAGCAGAATGGACCTTGACTCTGTGTAAGCTCTGCTCAGCAGTGAGTAAAGCATCTCTGTGTGATCAATACTGTTTTAATCACAAATCCAAAACACAGCCCTACAACGGCTACCATGAAGAAATTTAACTCTATCCCTTTTTCAATGATGAAAAGCAAAGCAACTTGTCCAACTTGTCCAGGAATTTCAATGGGTGATGTTGTATGAAAATGAAAATAAAGGAAATGGCCATTTTCTGGGGCATTTCAAGGTACCACATGCAAACTACCAAAACAAAGCAGCCTAAATTTTCTTCAGCATGGGCATGACACTAAAGGCCTAGTTCATCTTTTTCTTCTCAAAAATCCATGATTTTTTCTTTTTTTCCTTATGAGGTTCTGAGATAGGGTTTGAAAAGATGTGAATTACACCAACACCTCAGTCCTCAAATTACTAGAATGCACAGCTGCATAGCCACAACTGGTCAAAACACATGCAGAGCAGTGCATCCATGTGAAGGTCAAATAAAAAGGATTAAATGTGCATTCGATTAAATGAATATAGTAAGTAATGTAATTAAAAAGTAGCAAGAATATACAAATAAGAATGAAGTATAGAGAGCAGACCAGGCAACAGTGGCAATACACCAAATAACCAGTAATGGACACAGTACCAAACTCTGCTTACAAAATGTGTATGGTGCTGTAGGGGAGGGGCGGAGGAACAGACCAATTTGGAACCTGCTAGTTGGTGCTTCCTGTCTTGGTAAAGATGAATGTCTAATGAAGGCATCCAGTCTGCCACCTGATCTATGCCTTCTCCTTAGGAAATCATACCGTGAGAACAGCCTGCACTGAACTTACTATTTATTATTTGTTAATAAGTTGCACGGATTATTGCAGGTTTAACAGAGGACACAGATATGAGATAAAATAGAAGGCAAAGCAAAAGCAGTACAAGTTAACATTTGTCAAAAGTGACAATACTGACAGAAAATCGTAACGTAAATATGCACCTAAAGTCACTTTTCATTGTTACAGATTGTCATACTTCCCCCAGAAATATTACACAACTGCAAATAGGGAGCAGCAGATCTTTATGATGCTGGATGACAGAGCTACAAGTATTGCCCAATTAAGAATGGAAGGAAATCTCTCCATCAGGCAGTCTAGCTATTAAGATGCAGTTCACACTATGTTCATGTCTGAGAAGTTTGCAGTCTGTGAAAGCGAAGGTGAAGGTCAAGGAGTAAGCCACAGAAACCCTGGCTACCTGCAGAGTCTGCAATCAAGATGTATGGAGTTGATACATTCTCATATTACTCCCAAAATCGATGTCTTTTCTTCCCATAAATGTGGTCACTGCATTGCTGATCATCAGGGCTTTGTAGTACAGTGTTGTGAGGTGATTTATAAAACTCATGTTTTCAAGGCAGTTCATCAGGGAGTTGAAGCAGCTAAGATGTTGATAGTCACTAGACCTGAAGCAGATCTGACAGGCAAAATACCAGCCTTCCTCAAAAAACTTTTTGCTCAGAGGTATCTGCTATAAACAACTTTGGCTCATCTGTAGTCAGGAGCAGTACTGGTATCTCATCTAGATTTCACATTCCGCTGCTAAGCCACCTTCCCATCATGCCCTTTCATCTTTCAGACAGTCTTGGGCTAGAAAAGATTCCTGCCTGCCCAATAAATTATCAACAATATTTTCCATTTTAAAGTTAGTCACGGCATGATTTGTATGAATCCTCAGCAGCATTCTTTTTCTGCTAGAAGTACTTCCTTACATAGTACCTTGTTTTGGCACATAGACCCCCCATTAACATATTGGAAGTCTCAAATAATCATCGGAACACAACTTTGTTAATTGAGTAGAGCTTTGATCTCAATGAACGGAATAACTCAGGTAACTCATACGTGACTTTTGTATTCTAGATAGCCTGCAAATTTCAGCCACACAATGACAAAACTTTTGACAGTAGGAAGAAGTTACACGTAACTCCAAGAGATCAGCTTCTCCCACTTGCTGGTCACAACTTGGGTCATTAACAGAAGTGGTGCAAACAAAACTCCCAGAAAAGATCAAGCAATCAACAGAACTAAATAAATGCATTAAGGAATAAATTAAAGAAACTTGTCTTCATGCCTGGAGTCAGAACTGAGGCTGATAGGAGCTGAGTGGAGAATTGCAGCGGCTGCCATCCACGTGGCAGCAAGAATTCAGTGCACAGCAGGTAAGCACAAGCTTGCAGCCCACAACCAACTGCATTCAACTGAACCCTGAAACCTTTGTTTTCTCTCCAAGTACCTTAATTTTAAGAAAGACAGCCTTACATTCACTGAAGCTGTTAGGTAGTATTCCCATCCAAACTCCAGTTCCCCCCAGTTTCTACTCAAAACCTCTTTTTTGCTAAATAATTCCATCAATTTCAGGGCAAAGAGAGAATAAACAAACCAGAAAAATCACCTCGTAGAGTCCAGTTCTATACATGAAGGGAGCACTCCAGTCATAGCAACAGCATTTATATTCTGGACCTCTCATCACACAAAGGGAAACACGGTTTCTATTAACAGTCATTATTCTGCTTATTGTCTTAGGCTCCTGATTAGAAATACTGCTTTGGATACTGGTCCAGTTTCTTGTTTCACAGTCTTCATTTTAAATCAGTCTCTTCACAGAAGAGTTGGGGGGGGGGGGGGCTAGTACAGGAGGTTCTTTTTATTCCACACCCTACTGATCTTCTGCTGGTGCTGTTACTACTAATGATCTTAAATACCTTTTACAGCTTTTAATCAGGTATGGTATTTAATTGGGTAATCACCTGCTGAAGTAAAAATAATGTTTCTAAGTAGCCCATTTGCCTTTATAGCACAGAAACAAACAGCTTTGAGCAGATAGGCTGAAGTGTCCCCCCCCTTATTTGCTTAAGAATAGCACTCGGAGATAACAAGTAGGCTTGTGTTGTACATGGCCTTGTAAATAAAGTATGAGGCAGATAAACTAACTTTTACAACTTTTCCAGGAAAGCTGGGAAATTAATGGAAACCACCTTAGCCTTAAGATAGCTTCTCCCAAATAGCAGAGTAAATTAACTTACATAAAAGATCCACACTGCTATTGTTAGCCTACTTCCAGAACTCATGCTTCCTCATTTAAAGTTAGCTTACATATCTAAACCACAGTGCAATTGCTATATAGGGCATCTTTCCTCACTATACAACACCATTAAGTCCCTCCAGGATGTGTTTTACCAGCCTGGTAATCCAAACTTCACACAGAACACAACCAGCAGCCTCGTAGATCATACCACACCTTGAGGCATATGTTAATTGACCAATAAAACACACCTGTAGCATATTAATGTTACAATAAAACACTCTACATATTCAGTAAATTGTGTATTATCAGTTCTCCATCAATTATTTATTAAGAAGTAACATAATAAGTAATCTGCTGAGGAAGGTGCAATAACATGGGGACAAGACACTACAAAAATACATTTTATCACCTCGTCTCTACAGTTCCAGTCTTTGTAGCATATTGCATACTTATAACTGCTTGAAGTAAGGTAGGACTGAACTCTTCAGCTCTAAATCTTCATATTCTATTCACCAAAAGACTGCTTTGTTGAAATTAACAAAAGAACAGGATTTCTTATGTGTTTGTTTGCATCAGGTTCCTAATATTAGTAATATTAGTAATTCCCTTCTGTATAGAATTGCTAGATTCATCCTTTGTGAGTACTTGTTACCTGACTCAGTATTAGCATTATCTAACAGAAATATTTTCACTAAAACAACACTGTAAAATTCTGTAGGACTAAAATAATTTTTACATTTCAACAGAAAATATTTACAGTATATCCAACTAAAATTGGCAGGTATTTAAAATGAGGGAAGGTGGATATAATTGATCTTGTAATGCTGGACCTACCAGGGGCTCGCTCCTTTGCCCATTTCCTTAGTTAGTCTTGGAGCTTCTAAAAGTGCATTGAATGAATGACTATCACAACTCTCAGCACTCAAATGCTGCAATTCTCAAGCATTAAGTACAAGCCTATAATTTCAGTAAAGACTTCAGACATAGTGTTCTCAACTGCTAAGTCACCCCTAAAATCATTAACATCATTTATACTTCAACTTCCAAATATCCAATGGTGAAGAATTCATAAAACACCCAAAGTGGTATTTTAGCATTCAACATGCACTCTGTTTGTGAAGAACAGAAAGATGCCAGATTCTCTGCTAGCATTTGTCACAGTGAAGATTTGGGACGTGGAGATTGGTATAATAAGGCCATAGAAGACATGGTCACGTAGCACCATAGCTTCTCCTTTGAACTACGGGAACATCAAATAGCTGGTGTGGATTCCTGTAACACACACAAGTAAGGTAAAATAGGAACAGCTCCTGACTGTTCAGGATGAGGTACCAGTCATTTTAGATTGGATAGAAGGAAAAAGTTCTTTACTGTTAGGGTGGTGAGGCACTGGAATGGGTTGCCCAGGGAAGCTGTGAATGCTCCATCCCTGGCAGTGTTCAAGGCCAGGTTGGACACAGCCTTGCTTACATGGTTTAGTGTGAGGTGTCCCTGCCTATGGCAGGGGGGTTGGAACTAGGTGATCTTAAGGTCCTTTCCAACCCTAACTATTCTATGATTCTATGATTCATTTACTGCATGAGAGAAACAATACCATAATCCTAGACAGCATCAAAATGAGTATCATTAAAATCATACCACAAGAGCACTTCAACTAAATGATTGTAGCAGAAGAATATGTGGGAATGTGTATTTTTTGTTGTATTTTATACCAATTATGGTTCAATAAATAACAGGGCAATCATGATATATTGTTGCTACAAACTAAGCCTCTGCATGCATAACTTCACTTTGCTTCACCCTCGTTTACTTATTAATCAGGTATTGCTATTTATTATCTATTTCCAAATAAGCTTGGACCCGGTTTAGGTTTGGGAAAAATGTGAATATAGTCATAGAATTTAAATGTTTTGTAGCAGAGGTGAATTACAGCAAGGATCTGTAAAACAACACAATGAAAACAAAGGAAATAAAGTCTTTGGACAGAAAATTGAGGGGATATAAATGTACTTTCACTAATAATGTTTTTGTTGTATCTCTGACTTTTACCACTAAACAGCTAAACCAACCAAAGGTCCAGGCTGGAGTGTAACTCCTATGTTGAAATGTGGATGAGAAATCAGTACATTGACAAAAGTCAGGGGTTTTTTACGCCATTTAAGTAGACTATTATCTAAAGAAATCCAACTGAATCATCTCCTGTCCAATAGTACTTCTTTTTCAGTGTCTTCACGATGTTAACATGTTATAAAAATAATTACTCCCTTTAACAAACAGTATTTTTTCCTCTTATGGAACACAATAAGCAGTTTTATTGCTACTCAAACTTCTTCAGCGGTTTTCTATTTCAATACCTTTATTACAGCATCTCAATAGCACCTCTCAGTAGCAGCCTCAATTCTGTCTTCATCATGTAAATTGTGCAATTGTACTGTTGCACACCAGCATGGGGGAGATGACTTTTATTTACATGCATTGATACATTATTTTTTTTTCTGATCAAATGCCACCGATTTACCCTTCCAATCATCCCTGTATTTGGTTCAACTTACTAAAATGCCTTTCAAAACCACCACTTCACATAGATGATTCTGGGCCCAGAACCCCTGCTAGGCATGAAAGAAGGCTTTTTTGAGAAATGTGTTTATGCAAGCGCAAGATACAGAAAATCACTTTGTTTGTTTCTCTTAGATTTGTTAGTAAATTCAGTCACAAATTTCCAGGCAGGTGAGCAGGTATCCCAAGAAAGCAGCACTATTGATATGTTTTAAGTCGCTGCCAGTGTTCAAGTCTGATCTATTTAGGTTAAAAATACTTTTCTTATTCATATTTCTAACAAATATCAAAGTTAAATCCAGATACAGCAATGGTCACATAGAAAACATAATAATCAATACTACATAACTCCTGAAAAAAATCCCGGTTCTTTTCTGAAAGGGAGTTTCAGTTAAAATTCCTACTTCCTGCAGATTTATAGGACTAAAACTCCCATTTTACAAACAGCTGTAATTAACCCCATTTTTTTCCCCAGTGTTCCTATCCATTGCTGCCTTTACGAGATAAATGTTTCATTAAGTTGAAAAGAATTACAGCCAAGCCCTACAGAAGTTACTAATCAAAGAGGAAGAAGAGCCAGAAAATGCATGAGTTTAAACACTATTCAGTTGATTCTCATTACAGGAGCAGTTCTTATGCCTACAGCAAATGGAGGATACATGGAAAAGAAAGAGCTAGCAGCAAGCAGAAGTTAAAGGTGAGAAAGAGCACAAAATCATCATCATCATTATTATCAAGTCAGTATGGATACACAACTGAAAACCCTCAGTATCTGTAACAGTAGGTGAAAATCGGGGTATTGCACATAACTCTGCATGGAAAAAAAACATACATCTTCCACTGCCTTCCATGCATGGCACATTGTTCATGGCACTAAAGTCTTAAAAAAAGTATAGGAATGGCTTTGATACAAACAGCTGAGAAGTAAAAGATTTCGTTTCTTAGTTGTTATTTAAAAGGCATCTTTAAGGCAAATTTTTAGCTATAATTTACAAATGCTTGAGTTCTGTGTGATAGAAATGACTGTTGTTAAAATATTGCAGCTGCAAACATTTGCCTCAGTCATGTAGTTCATTTAGACCCAAGAAACCTGAAGTGAAGAGATAAAAGTTCACTCATCATCCCACTCAACAGCCACCCTCAGTCTCTTTATATGCAACAGACTGAGGTAATTTTATCTGACAATAGAAACTGTATTATATCAAGAGGTACCAAATAAACCCTTTCTTCTGGAAAAAAAGAGTTTGTAAACCATATTCTCTGTCTAAATATCAATCAGCTTGAAGTTGCATATGTAAATTAGCCACCCAGATGCTTCCAGAAAGCAGAGATATTCTGGAAGGCAATGCTTCCTCATGTATAAGCGAGGAGTAAGATGATCAGTAAAAACACAAAGGCATTTTTAATATGGTGCCAGTGAAAATGCTCAAATAAGCATGCAAAACCTTTCACAATTAGAATATTCAGGGTGGGTTTTTTGAAATGTCAGAAACAAACATTAAATATATGAACAATATTTCAATGTAACTATGCAAAAGTGGCAGTGCATTCAAAGAATGCCTCAAGAACAAGGAAACCAAATGTTCTACTTCCATCAAAACAAGACAATAACTCATTTCAAAAGTGCAATCTCAGGGAGATAGAACAAGTGCTCAAAACCCAATATTATGTCTTTGTAAAATATGTGAGATTTTCTGCAAAATCTAAAAATTATAATTTCCTCAATAAAGGATCAAATTACCATTCCCATTCAGAGTAATAACAAACAGCTTCAATATTACATGTCAAAACAAACGTACTTTGCACATTCAACCTCATTTTATTTCCTTGTTACTTCAGGGCTTTTTCCCCCTAATATTTAAAACACCCCTATGAAACTTGTCAGTTTTGTACCCTGCACACAAAAGTAAAAACTTCAAAACAAAC